AAAAGGAATTTCTTCTTTCATTTGCTGATGAAATATCTATAGCATAAGCCTTACTGTTTAAACTATGACTAGTTTAACGGTCATGGGACATCAGGGACATGACCTGTTTTCATGTATTATAATTAAAATACCAAGTTTGGAGTGAGCGAAATTCTCAAATATCACAATATCTCAATAAGACTGAAAACCATCTATAGATGGTTTGTAGCACTGAACAGAAATTTTATAAAGAACATATTGTTTTATACTCACATTTATATGCATTATATACCACCTTAATCACACAGATGAAACAGATTCCCACATTAACTCCTCCCAGAACTACGAGATAACTCAGGAGGCATTCTGATAACACAATTATTTCTAGGAACTTTTAAGTAAGTATTACCAATACTTACTTCATTATCAATTATCGATACAATTAACCTCTCAAGGTAGAATAGGGTGGTTCCTGTGTAATCTGCTAAACCTTATTTAGTCCTTTGAGTTTCTGCACAAAGAACCACAGAGCTTAAAATCTGTTGGCTAATTCCCTCCACTCCAAAAAAAAAAAAAAGAAAAGACTAAAGAAATAGTTGTGAAATTTTGGTTAAGTTTTATTTAGTTGCCTTGAATAAAGAAATCTTAAAAGCAAAACTGAACACTCATGACAAGTATTTAATTTTGCACATTTAATGCAAGAAATTAAGTTCTAGAGAGGAGGGGAAAGATATCCTGCCCTGAAAGTGCTTGCATCTAACAGAGAAAACTATAACGGCTATTATACACAAAATAAAATATAAGTATAATAAGTAAAATATAAGTATAATGTAAGTACTTATATATATATAAGTATATATTGTACAATATAAGTACAAAGTACCTTTTTTTATTTCTAATTGAGCTCTTAGCATGTTATTTTGAACATTCATGTCTGTAAGTCTGTCTTTTGTGCTAGGATGGTAAATTCTAAGGCAGGGGGCATGGATGAGTCGTATTCCTTCTTGAACATCCAAGACACAACACACAATCAGCATCTATAGGCAAGCACTCAATTAAACACTTGGGAAGGTTAACATAAGAGACATACAACAGAGAGCTGAAGGATAGCTTGGTGCTTGTGTAGTATGTATATAAGCCCTAGGTTTGATCCCCAGTATGAGAGAGAGAGAGAGAGAGACGAGAACTTTAAGTATATGCTGCAATGATACATCCCAGCCAGATAGGGAGATCACTAAACATTCAGCAGAGGGAAAGTTTCAAACAGGTTTTGAAATATGAGTGAGTTTATCTGGTAGAGGTTGATCCAGAAGACAGACAGACTTGAAGGAGAAAAAAGAAGATGTATGCAAGCTCAGCATGGTGGTACACACCTGGGCTACATAGCAAGACTGCATCTCAAAAAAAAAAGACACCAATGACACATCCAAAAGTGTCAGGACCAGAGCATGGCTCAAGTGGCAAAGCACCTGCTTTATGAGCAGAAAGTCCTGAGTTCAAACTCCATCAAAAAAAAGTGTTCCATGCCCCCCTGCAAGAAAAAAGGTGTCCCATCAAAAAAAAAAAATGTGGAGGTCAGACTACTTTGTAAGGTATGTAGCTGTGTTTAGTTGAATCATAAGTCAAGTGTGCCAGATCTGGCCAGAAAGGAAAACTGTGACCTGACCAGAGCAATGCCAGGTAAAAAAAGCTTACTTGGTAGGCAGTGAAGACTTTGAGGAAGAACATGAGTTGACTGGATTTGTGTTTTAGGAAGATCAACACAGCAGATCAGAGGCTCAGCCAGATGACGTGCTGTCAACCACTGGATTCAGTTTTGCCAGTACAGACTGAGAATATCTGTACAGAATAATTTCTGATTTTACTTCTTTTGATTTTGGAATATTTGCGTAGACTTCACTGGTTGAACATCTCTAGTTTGATAATCCAAAATCCGAAATGCTCGGAGTTTCATGTCAATACTCGAATAGTTTTAGATTTCAGGGCATTTTGGATTTTTGGAATCAAAATGCTAAATGTGTAATTTTTTTCCTTTTTAAAAAAATTATGGTAAAATAAAAAGCACAAAATTTTAAAGTAGCATTAAGTACATTCACAGTATTGAACAATCACCATCTGTAGGACTTCTTCCTCATCCTGAACTAAAATTCTGTGTCCATGAAATGATAACGCCCTACTTTGTCCTCCTAACTGACTCATAAGCACTACCCTACCTTCTGTCTCTAGCCATCTGACTGTTTTAAGTGCCTCATAGAAGTGGAATCATACAATTCATGTCCTTCTGTATCTGGCTTATTTCACTTGGCATATGTCTTTAAGGTTCATTTGTGTTGAAGCGTGTATAATTATCTTAGTTTTTCAAGGCTGAATAATATTCCATTGGTAGGAACATATCTCATTTTGTTTATTCATCATTCATCCACTGATGGATGCTGGGTGTTTCCCCACATTTGACTATTGTTTATAATGCTGGTATGCACATTACTTTGCTATTATTTTGTTGAGTATATTTGTACCTATATTCATGAGGGATATTAGTCCATTAATTTTCTTTTCTGGTAATGTCTGTCTTGTTTCAGTATCAAGGTAATAAAATAAATTGGAAAATAAGTCTTCCTCTTCTACTTTCTAGATGAGACCATGTATAATTGGCATTTTTCCTTCCTTGGATGTTTGGCAGAATATACAGTGAAAATATCTGAACCTGGTTTTATTAGAAGGTCTTTACTACAAGTTTGATTTATTTAGTAGATACAGGACTACTTAGGTTGACTATTTCTTCTTGAGTGAACACAAATTAGTTCCTTTCATCTGAGTTGTCAAACTGTAGTTGTAGAATAATTCATAGTACTCCTTTATTATCCTCTGAGTGTGTGCAATGAGCCCTGTGCCATTCTGATACTGGTAACTTGCATCCTCTAAGAATCAGCCTTAGTTTCCACTCATTTCCTTCCTTCCGAAGGAGGAGCTTGAATTAGTGGTTCCAGACCTTTCTTCTTTTCTAGTAAGCATCTGATGCTGTACATTTCCCCCTAGGTCCAACTTTAGCTGCATTTGGCATGTTGTATTTTCATTTTTATTCAGTTTAAATAGTTCCTAATCTCCCTTTTCTGATATATTCTAAATTCTAGGCTTATGTCTTCAATGAAATCAATCATTTAAAAGCAATTTCATTCTAATCTGGTAAAAATAGATAATAATAAATTCAATACACTGTCCCGGCACTGGAAGCCACCATTGCTGTTTATAACTTATCAAGCAGTACATTCAGGAAAACACATAACTGAAATATGTTTCTTAAAAAACAGTCCTGGAAGAAGCTGGGTTCCTTGCCTAAAGAACAATGAACTAATCTACACATCATCAGAGTAAGACAGACCATATCTGAATTGTCAGAACCACTTGGGAGGTATCTAAGACCCAGACCGCACCTGTGGTAAACCTTCCTGTGTACCTTAGATGCCAGAGATTGAAAAGGCTTTTTACAAATAAATAAGCTAAAACCAAAAGAGTGGCTTGAAAGCAATCAGGATCAGAGATTAAGGTTCTGATGGGTGTTGAAGAACAGCAAAATGAACCCAGAAGAGTGAACAGATCCATTCCTGCCATTCTCATTCAAGTGCTTTCATCTTTCTGTGAGAATTCATTAGAAACAGTTACACGTGCATCCCAAAGGCTGCTTCAACTTAGTGGAGGAAGCATCCAGATGGTGAGGAAAAGCAAGGGAAAGGAAATCAGAATGTGTAGGTCTGCACACGGTCATATGGTTCTAAATCTCATGAGTCTGTTTTCTCATCTGCAAAATGGCAGTGAAAATGTCTACCCCACAGAGTTGGGCTCATTAAATTGAATAAAGAAATGAAAATACAGAAAAATGAATAAATGAAAATAGAACAGTGTAGTTCAATAGAAATATACGGTGAGCCACAAATGTGAGCTACATATGTAATTTTAAATTAAAAAATACAAAGAAGCAGATGAAAGTAAGTTTAACAATACATTTTATTAAACCCAATGTATCCAAAATATTATCATTTGCACATGTCAATAAAAATTAACGAGATTTTTTTTTTTTACATTTTTTTGTACCAAGTCTCTAAAAAATGATGTATATTTTACATACATAGCACAGCTCAATTCAGGGCAGCCACATTTCAAGAGCTAAACAGCACAGATAGCTACTGCCTGTCATACTGACAGCACACGCCTACAACCAAGGTGAGGCTCCATACGTAATGTGTTAGACCCAAATAAAGTTTACCATTAGGTAATACCTGTGGGATTTAGCAAAGGTATTTTTAAGATCAATACATTGAAGAAATTCTGTATTTTTATCTTTTTGGTATTGTATGTGATATAGTAAGATTTTAAAATAAAATGTCTATACTGCCTAGATCCAGTATTTATCCCAAACAAAAGCAACCAAAAGATCTTTGTGCTAGGTCACTGGTATTCATTTATTCTATATTTATTCTTGTGGTTACTTTATTATGATTTTAATTATATATTAATTTGACACAAATCTAATAATCTTAAAAAAGAAAATAAAACCTGATGTAACTATAAGCACACAACTCAAACTACATGCTACAGTTGATAAAGTATACTTGCAAGCAAAGACACAGCTACAGAAAACAGAGCATTTCTCTGTATTGTGAACTTTTCAGTTCACAGGATCAACATTGACAAGTCATGTTGATTTTAATAGCTTTTTCTTATAAAAATGTAGTTGTATTCTCTAAATATCAGGATGACCACGTATCATGACAACTTAATTATGTGTAAATGTAAGTAAATACAGCATCACATTTAAATACATTAAAATGTGATGCTACTTTTACTTCAAAATGATTCATTGGGATAATTGTCAAACATTACTTGTATTACATTTATTATTAAAATTACACTGAATAGTATACAGTAGGCAAATTTTTAGATCTTAAACTCAAAGATATGAATGGAAAATTTATATCAAAGAATAGAAAATACATAAAAAATTACTTAATTGCAAGGTCATTTGAAAGTTATCCACAAAGCCTAAATGCATGCACACACACAGACACACACATTTATAATACACTGAGTAGAATGTTCTTAGTTTCTACATATGGAGACGCCCTTGAAATAGATACAGTTTCATCCTTCTTTCTCTAGTTCAGCACAAGTGGTCAAATAAGAGTAGTCATGCCACTACTACACTGGTCCACTCCGACAAGGACTGTTTTTAGATGCCTACTGTAACTTCAACATCATGAAGGGTAATAAAATTCTTAAAGAGGCAAAACTCTTTGGGCTTTGACCTTCCATTTATTATGTATTCAATAGATAATATTTCTCTAATACAGGTCCTCTCTCTCCCTCAAAACACTTCTTCAGTGTGCTTGGTCAGAGTGATCCATGAGGAAAAAGTGCCACAAGCTGTGTTCTGTGGCATTGTATATGTGTCCCTCTGTAGTCTCCTCATCAAGCATCTGCATGGCTCATGCTTAAGGTCAATGATTAGTTCACAAAGCAGTGTAGCTACTCAGGACATTAAAACGACTTCTCATTTGAACTTTTCCAAGAAAAGAAGCTGCTCTCTCAATATGGCACACATTCCCAAAGTTAACAAATCAGGGTCACTGATAGGAAACGAAAACACAAAGACAGACACTGCACAATTTGAAACACTTGGCCAAACTTCAGAAATAAAAGTACTCAACATAGGAAGAGACTCACATCTGGCATTTCTGTAGAGAAGGAAAGGGTCCTGGAGTTGGAAGTCCAGGTCTTTAGTAATGGGTTCTGTTCTGTTTTCCATGCTCAGCCTATTCATAATGGTGAATCCATACTTTGGAGAAGCTGACCTGAAAATCATGAGTAGGGAGAATCAAAGGACAAAATGCTCAGTGCATTACACATGCAGTATAATTTCATTTTGATGTGTCTCTTAACCGTTTGTGTATACAGTTTCTCAAGCAGATGTACAACATTTCTACACTACTGGCATCACCATGAACTATGAATTAGTTCATATGCAATACAGCATGACTGTCGGGCTCATTCCCTGGTAAAATAAGAGTCACACTTCTTTAACTGTGTGTGTGTATCTTGCATTTTGTCTTATTTCCCTTCCAAAGTTGTGAATTTCTTTAAGGGAGAGATAGAACTACTTTTTAAAACCTTACTGACAAATACTTTCAAAGGAGTTTAGTAGTGCATATAACAACATAATTACACAAGGAATATTTTTACAGAAAATAAAACGTTGGTCTGAAATTGAGAGATGCAAAATCTCTTAGAGAAATGAAGCAACTCTGGTCAATGAACCTGTGAGACACAGAACCAACTAAAAGTTTATATAAGGCCCAAAGAACAGATATTTTGTTTCCTTCAATATAAACCAATAGCTTTATGGATAAACTACTACATTTCTCTCAACAAAAACATGGCACTTAGTGACTTTTTATTTTTCACTTCGTTCAATGAATCTTGAATGCCTACTCTGCCAGGCAGAAAGAACCCAAATTATACAGAGTGTAAACTCTAACAACTGTATGTGCATTTGTCTACCCTTGGGTGACAGCCACACAGTAAATCAGCTGAGCAACTTCTAGTGACAAATGAAACCCTATATCCTAGCACACTGAAGCTGAAGCAAGCAGAATTGTTTGTTCACTTTAAGCTAGGATTCTAGAGTTGTTATTAACACCCCATAGAAATGTTCTGAATGAGAGGAAGAAAAAATGCTTATACTTTAGTTTTCACTTCTAACCATTTGACATTGATAAAGATGTAGAACACAGCTACTTTACCACATATAAGATTTTCTCTTTTAAAATTGATGGAAGGCAATCTTCACTGGCTTATTTTACAAAGAGGCAAAGTGGTGGTGGCATAATAATCAATGAGACAAATAATCATGATAAACATTTTGACTGGGAGTAAGGGAAGGATGAAGTGTGATCCTGAAGCCTCTGACAAGAGGTCCACAGGAGTGTCAAGTTCAGAAATCACCAGTGAATTCTGTCTGTATCACAGATAGAAGACATGGAGGACATGAAGAAATTATTCTTGAAGTGGGATTAGGTGTTTTACACAAGCATCACCATCCAATACTTCACAATTTCATCATCACAACAGGCTCTCGCATCTTTTATAGAATGGGATAATATCATCCTACAGTTTATAAAACAGGCCCAGGAATATAGGTGCCAGTTATGCTGAAGAAACTTCTGGAAGCAAAGTCAAAGTATCACAGGCAGCTCTATTACCAGCACCCCAAAATTCCTTTGGACTTTCCTGTCACTCTCTACTGAGGAAAGACCTTGCCAGACCAGACTCTAGAAGGGGCGGCAACAGACATCCTCTTCTTGAGGAGTTAGATTTGGGGAAGAGATGAAGACAGGAAGACTTTTTTTTCCTTTCAGCTTAATGGTTTAATTGACAGTTCCATTAGAGGAACTGGAGTATATTAAAAAGTTCTTGAAATTACAAAGCTACATTTGATTTGGGAACAAAAGAGAAAATATTTCTATAATTTTTACTCTTTCATGCTCAAAAAAATCCTTGAAATCAATCATTAATACGTCTTTTCCTTCCTTCTCAAAATAATAAGAAATGAAAGAGAATGCATACTCTCTGCTTGGCACACAGTAGAGGCTCACTTGGTTGGTTTTCTCTTTAAACTTTAAAATGTCTACTAGTAGTCACACTCTATTGAATAGACTCAATTGGTGTGTTCTGGTGCTTCTGGAATGTTCTGGAACATAATGTAGACTAACATGACAATGAGTAAAGTGCTCTTACCTCTTTTTTGAGACTACAAACAATCTGACTTCCTCCTTACCTAGTTCACCGGCCTAGACATCCATTCCTTCCTTTCCACCACCCCGCATGCCTCCACTCAACAGACCTCCTTCTCCACTGCTGACCCCTTCACCAGCGACACACACAACCCTCCATCTTTCCTGCACTGTGCCTCTCTGGACTGTTCTAGTTCTGCTTTTTATGACTCTTCTGTGTGTCACTTTTGGCCATAAAACCCAACTATTAGCCCATATCAGTTTCCTCCTTTTACCTGCTCCTTCTCTCATGATTTCAACTACCAAACAACCTCAAACATCTCCAAACTCTCCATTTTCAGGCCCAACCCTATCCTAAGAGTCTGGACACCTCCATCTGAACACCCTGCTACCACTGCAGAAGTATTACTCCTGAAACCTGAAGACTAAAGGCTGAGGTGTAGCTCAGTGGAGAGTGCACTTCATGCTTGAGGCCCAGGGTATGATCCCCAGCACTGCAAAACACACAAACAAATGAAGTAAAAACTTATGCTGAGTCCAGATCCTTGAACTCCTATCCCTTTTGGCCAATGACTGTCATTAAGTCTTCCAAATCAATGTTATTTCTTAGCTTTACCAGCCCCCCACCCCATTCATGCAGTCTTCCAATGCCCTTTCTGTTTCAACTTTGGTGGTTCTGTTTCCAACTCTCATCATCTCCTATCTGCTTCAAGAATCATCTTCTCAGTGTCCTCCCCAACCCTAACTTCTTCTTGAACCAATGCCTCCTCATAGCATCAACACACTGACTTTTCCCATGCATTTTCTCCTAACTGTACTACGTATTTTCCTGTTCAGAAACCTTTACTCACTCCCTACGACCAGGGAAATAAATCTCAAGATTCATACACTGCTGTTACATTACTCACACTAATATAAACCCTCAACACCAAAAAGAATTTTCTTGACTGTCCCTTTAACACAGTAGGCTCCATGCCTCTGTTTTTACCATTCTGCTTGTTGAGACTGTCCTTATGGTACACCTCATTCCTGAGGCCTAACTCAAGATCCATCAACTCTACAAAATCTTCTACAATCACAGCAGTCAACTCACTGCTCATAATCAGCTGACACTTGCAACAGTCTTTCCTGTTTTGTACTTATCTTAAACTAGAATACATGTGTAAAAAAAATACACTTTGGTGGGTCTCCTATTTCACCAATGAAACCACTACCCCAAAAAGGATTTACACTTGGCTTTTATAGTTCATCTTTGTACTCCCACTAAAAGTGATAAGATTTAGCTAAGACATGTGTTTATGAGTAAAAAGCTTAGCTATTAATATGTATACTGTATATCTCTGCGTACATGTGTGATGCCACCAGGATCTGACTGGTGAAAAGAAATGACTAACTTAGCATGAGTTTGTTAAGTCAATCCTGAAATACACTTAGTCCTGAAACTAGTGGAGCACTAGTTTCACTAGTGGAGCACTAGACAGTGGAGCACTAAAAGACATTATTAGTTGTGGACCATGCTATTTTAAGCAGCCAAGGGTGGGGGAAGGAGACCAACAAAGCCCTTTTCAAACATTGATGAAATGATCTGACAGTATACCTCTAGTTCCTTGACAATGCATTACATTCAAGAACTGTGTCCCATTCATTTGAATCAAAGAATAAGTATTGAAGACTATTTTAAATAGAACACAAAGATTTACATTCATTTATATTGTAGTTTCAATTGTATCCTGAAATGAGTATTCATCAGGATATTCCAGGTGAAAGTAGATGGGATTCCCTTCCTTCTGCCAACTAAAACTTTCAAACTAAGATTTGGTTGTTTTACTTGTCTGTGACATAAAACTGCACTTGGAGAAGTGACACAATTGAGCTAAAATATTATTTCAACAATTGTTAGTTTCTTTCTCAAAGTGATATACTCTTACCTTGTGTAAACAAATAAGGTTCCTTCGACATCAGTCTTCTCCTGAAAAACAGAAACAAACACACCATCTGAATGTTCTCTTCATTCACAAAGACGTGAGCTTCTTTCTTACAGAATACCACAGACATCACACAGCCTTCAGAGGCGGAAGCAGTAGTACTAACTTGAGGGGCAATGGGGAAGGGAGAAGGCAGCCACTCTGCCCTTGCTGTAGCCACAAGGAAGCTGCTCTGTCCTTATCGCTTCCCAAATACAGCATAAGCCCTGTACCTCTACCTGAGACAGGGAGGGAGGGAGCTCCATGGAGTCACAGGAAAGAAAAGGTAATAATAAACATGCTGCCTGCTCCTCCATCCACCCAAGCTGGTGCCTGGGAAGCGGCAGACGTCACTGGTGTCTGTATTTCATGATCCTTCACTTTATTTTTTGGGTTCATTTTTTCTTACCATATCCTGTCACCAAGAAGAGCAGGTGATCTGTCAATAACTACTTTGACTGGTAGATGAGAGCAACTATGCCATAGAGTTTTTAGATGAATAAATCACCAACTTTGTGTGGAGTTAAAATGAGAGTTCAGTAAGTCCACTTGGCATTTCCTTTCTGTTTCTCCAAGGCAGGAACCCAGGTCTGAGATGATGATGCTCACCAACTTAATGCCAACTTTTGTTAGTAATCAGGCAGTGTAATTCAGAATTTAAAGTATGCTGTTGCTATTTTATATGGTTTAATTTCAATAGTCTGTTATTCGATTTAGCCCCCAAGATTTTATTATTATTATATTCATTACCAGTCATTTGAAATTAAGTACTATGTGATTTTCTTTAAGAAAAAAGAGGTGTAACATTAAAGTAGCAGTTTTAAAAGGCACGAAAACTGAACACCTGATCCTTCCCATGCTCAAGGAGTCTTGGCAGCTTGGTCAGTCCTTACCTCAAGGGGTCTCAGCAGTTGCCAAATCAGCAGCAGCTGCACCCAGGAACTTAGAAGTGCACATTCTTAGGCCCTGGCCAAACTCACTGAATCAGAAACTTGGGGTGGCGCCCAGCAATCTGTTTTCTATTAAGTGGTTCCCACTGCCTGAGTTTAGCAATGGAGTCTCCTCTCCTGGAACTACATTCGGAGTCATGAAAACAAAATCCATTATAGCCCAATTTTTATCCAACTATCACCAAACATTGTTTTTTAAGAGTAAATGGCTGTGAAAAACATCATTACTTAACACCAAGAGTTTTAATCTAAGGATGTTTATTATTATAGAATATGTAACTAAAGTAATTTTTAACAGCTAAAACAATTTTAGCTGGCCTTTTAACATATATGTACAGGTAAGAAAGTCACACAGTTCCATCTTTCAGCTGGACTAAGAAATCTGCATAAATCTCTCCAATGTACTGTGAAAAGTATCCTTAATTTCTAAATGAAGCCCATTTGCCACTGTGCTTTGAAAAACACCTTAGCCGAAACGGAAAAATATAAACATACAGAAACATTACTTCTCCTCTCTCTTTGTAAGTAAACACAGTTAATTCCTATCTGCTGAGAAATCTATCTTTTGAGTGCACTTTAAGCCCTAAGAATTAATTAAACTCAACCAGTGTTAATCATGGAGAAAATGGCTGCTACAGTCCAAGAATTTGTAAGGTCCCTAAAGCGTAAGTGGGGCCCTTGGCAAGAATTTACTAGTCCACAATGCCTTTAAGAATAAGTTTGCGAAACCCAAATATTTGGTATTAGGTATTACATTGATAGAAAACTGAAGCCAAAATGCAGGTGATGGAATAAGGACTTTGAAGACCTCATGTGCCCTGCAAGCATCATAGGCCATAGGCCCAGTTCTGGGTCTTCCAGTGTTTGACTTCAGACTGGTTCACCTGCAGGTGCAAATCAGGGTGTTCACAGTTACCAGCATACATTCACTAAGAGCTTCTAACTTGTCTCCTTTTTTCCTTGCTGTAACAGAATTTCTCTTTTCTTTAAAAACAAAAACTTTACTACTCATTTGAGTTTTGAAAAATCCGACATCAGAACTGTAAAAGGCATGCTTCTCCTGGAATAATTCTTCTAACTCATAACAAGTAATTCTTAAACCTGAGACTGGCTGTGAGTTGTTCATGGAAAGGAATCGTGGTTCCATAATTACACTAGGGCCCCGGAGGGGGTTCCTGCCGATCATACTGAGATAATTCATTCGTTGTTCTATGTCTTACTTTCTCCAGTGAAAAGATGGAAGAGTGTTTGCTTAGCAAGGCAAGGCCCTGGGCTCATACCCAGCTCAACAAAAAAGAAAATAAGGAGATAACTGGCCTATACCACTCATAAAAAACACATTTTAAAAGCTCTTACTAGGATAAAAGAGGCTTTGAAAATGTAAATTTCTGCTCTGTTAGGGCTGCTGGCTCAAATTCAAGCACTCTCCTGCTCTCTCCCCAGTTACCCAAGGGCAACCATATTTTTTTCCTTTCTGCACAAAATCCAGGACTGGGGGGTATAGGGAAATTAAAACAGGGTTTTATTAGATCCTCCTTAAATTCTCCAAGTAAGGACTTAAAAGTTACTAGTCCACAGTCCTAGAATATTTTAGCTGAAATTTTAAAATGGAATATAAATAATGCTGTTTTGAAAAATACTGGGACTCAGTAATTGTTTGATACTTTTGAAACTCAAAGCAGTCTCTGCTTTACTGATTAAGTTATAATGAAAAAGCAGAGCTCACTGCGCACATGACATCAGAGCCTCTTTGTAGCTTCCAGCAGTACCAAGTGCTAAGACCTCACTGTCCAGGGTTTGATTTGGTGGTTGCAATTTCAAAACCTCCAGGTTGTTGATACACAGAAAACTCTGAAAACCATTAGCTGGAAACACAGGACACTAGCCACCTGCAGGCAGCTTCTCAGGCTCAGCATTTTTGACCTTTTGAACGGGATAAACCTGTTGGGAGTGCAGAACAATGCCTGTGCATTTTAGGATGTTTAGCACCATCCCAGTCTCTTCCCTGCAGATGCCACCAATACCCTCCCACCCCATGTGACAACAAAAATGTCTCCAGACATTGACAAATGTCACCTGGGGGCAAAAGCAACTCCAGCTGAGAGCTACTGCTCTGAAGAATACAAAGCCAGAAATAATACCAGGGTTACAGCCTTTAATGACCCACAGATATTTGGGGGGAACAGTCTTTCCAGGCAGTAGAGTTTAGTTAGGTTAGCTCTAAAATTCCTATTCCAATCATGAATATGACTGATCTCTCTTAATCTTTGTCTCTTTTTTTGTGCTAGGACTGTGCACATGCTAAGCACGGGCTCTACTCTGAGCCCCACCTCCAGTTTCTCCATCCTTTCTGAAAGCAGCTCATTCTATCTACCCTTCATTCCTCATTTCTCAACCTCAGAACACCTGATGTTGTTCATCTATTTCCAGTGTAATACAAATTCCCCTCCTTTCCATCCCACCTGACTTCTTACAAATACATTCTCCTGCATTCTTAAGAATGGTCTTTCCACCATCCTAGGGAGACAGTAGTGACAATTGCTTGCCCCCGGCAACTGCTTTGCCCTTGAACTACATCTCTCTCTTTTACCTCGCTCCCACAGCCTTGAAGATTAGAACTTTGAAAGAATGACCTTTTACTGAATGAATTATGCCCTGTCTGAAGGCAACAAGTCCAGGAAGCAGGAAAACATAACTCCTGTAAATAATACATTGTGACACTTCTGCCTTTTGATCAAGCTTTTGTTGATGGCTTCACTGGGCCTCTGGTAAACCTCTGTAATGATTTTAAAAGGTCTCTAGCATACAAGTAACTGTGAAAAGACTTAGGAATTCTGCTTTATACCTATGTGAACAGTTTCTCAGCATTCTCCACACTGTAGTGTCAGGTCAGCTTGCAGTACTAACTATGCCGTAACCATCCCTCATTCTACCTCTTCAGAAGGCACTACACAGAATTACGTTATACCTTTGGCATTTTTCTATAAGCTGAAAAAGTCGCATGGAGAACTTATTTACATATGTATTCATTAGTAATTATATTAGTAATTAATTATATACTATATATTAATTACTGTAGAAGGAACCGTCTTTTTATATAAAGACCCAGGTGACAATTTCCCCTGGTAACCAGGGAGCAATGGGCCCTCTTCTGATCAAGTGGTATACGTCCTATCATAGGGCAGTATCAGAGAGCTCTCCATGTTTTCCTTTTGGGTTTGGCTACTATAACAGACTGAATTTCTTTGCCTCATTTCAGTTAAGAACCTGAGGCAAAGGTGGTGAGAAGCTAGGGACAAAACTGTCTACTTAGCTATTTTTTCGCAATGCTGGGGATGGAACCCAGGGTCTCTGGCAATCTAAGCAAGTGCTCTATGTCTGAGTCACACCCCCAGGCTCTTCTTTGTCATTTTATTTTTGTGTCAATGGTTTTCAGTGAATTTTTATTACAACCTGCTGAAGATCCACGCTGGAGAGAAGTAGGCTTTATGAAGGTGGGTGTTCAGAAGCACAGGGATTTGCTCAATGTGGATGTTTTCCTTGCTTAAACTTTTGATGTTTATTTCTGGCTTGGAAAACATCAAAAAATTCATCTAAAATCCTTCCAGGCTAAGTTCCTTATACCATTGTGTAACTTACTTACAAATAGATGGTTGTATAATGGACAGATAAATATTATTTGATACAATGAGTAAAAGAGAGAGGAAAAAAACCTAAATGTTTTTATATTGGAGGGAGGGGTTACAAAATGACAGGAAGCAATTCCTGCAACAGGAGGAGCCTCAGTGTCTTCCGCTTCTACCACATTCCGTTAGGATTTACTGGGCTCGGCCTTGATAAGTTCACTCTAATAATTCGGTTCCCAAAAGGACTCAATACCGAGGGCAGGATCACAGCAGCCTCCTAGGTGGCACCCCAACCCCATGTGCGCTCTTTAGTTGGTATCTCCCTGGGTTTGCAAGATCGGTTTCGCCCATCTAAGACTGACACTCCGGAACCGGACCTGTCGTTCCTGTCCTCCTCCCCCACGGCACCAGGGCTGCACCGAACTGGGCTTTCCTTTCTGGGGTCCGTCCGTCAGTCTTCGGCCTCGGGCACCCGAGACACTGAAGTCTCTTTCCCAGTCCAGTGGGTTCTCGGGTCGGCCTCCCTACCCTTATCCCCGGCACCTTGGGAGGTTCCTCCCTCACCGGCTCCTCCGCCCGGAGTCGAGCCCCCCGTTCCCGCCCAGCCCGGGTCGGCGCGGCCCGCCGCGTCCGCACGCACCCACTCGTTGGCCCGATGGCCGAAAGTGTACAGGGCCACCTGGCTGGCCACGTCCACGATGCAGGTGATATAGGGGTCGTGGCGCTGCAGGGCCGCTAGACTGATGTCGCGCCCTTTCCCCAGCAGGCCACCCGCCGCCACGGCCGCCATCTTCCCTCCCTCCCCGGCATCGACCCGGGCGCTGGGCAGCCGCTCTCAATGGATCTCAGAGCGAGCGAGCGAGCGAAAGAGCTGAACCCCCAGCGACCGCAAGTCCGCGGGAGGCTTTCCGGCTCCAGCCGCAGCCCCGCCCCTCGCAAGGCATCTCCAATCGACAGCCGCGCTCCTGCCCACGTGACCGTCGCCATGGCAACCACAAGCCCAGGAGCTGCCGCTGGTTCCCGAGTTCTGCACCCTTCCGGATTCAGCGTTTGAGCTGTAAGACCACAGGTTGGAAGCGCTGGATGCCTCAGCATATGCCTACTTTGGCGTCTCAGCGATCCAACCTGTAGCCATAAATAAGCCTCAGGCATTAATAGCTGAGAGGAAGCAAGAGTTGTGATTTCCGAAAGTGCTACACCCAGTGGTTCTCAAAGTGCAGCCTCCATGTCCCTTGCGGGGGCGGGGGCGGGGGTGGCCTGCAGGGTCAAACAGTTCTGACAATGCTAAGACTTAACTTGATTTGCTCACTGTGATGACATTGATGTCAATGGGGCAGAAACAAGGGTGGATGAAAGTGCTGGTGTCCTGTGAACCAGGGCAGGGCCACCAAACTGTTCCACTCTCAGTTAAAAAGAAAAAAATTAAAAACAGCAGCAGCCAAAGCCAAGTGTCGTTTGAGAGTGTTACAGAAAAAGCAGTAAAAATGATATTAACTTTATTATAGTTCAGTCGTTGAATATGTTTCTTTTTACTATTCTGGGTGAAAAAATAGAAAATATATGTAAAGCACACCTGTTGTATACCAAAACGCTTATTTGTCTCCAGGAAAATTCTTCTGTGCTTGAGTTGTGAACTGAATTAGTGGGTTTTTGTTTTTGAGTGTTTTGTTGTAGTTTTGGGTTTGTTTGTTTGTTTGTTTGTTTTGGCAGTACTGGGGTTGGAACTCAGGCCTGTGACTCGCTGGGCAGGTACTTTACCACTTGAGCCACACTACCAAGTCTGTTTTATTTTTTATATTTTGGTTGTTTGTTTTGTTTTGTTTTTGCTTCTGAGACAGGGTCTCACTATGTATCCCAGGCTGTTCTCTGACTTGAGGTTCTTCTGCCTTCCCACTTCCCCAAGTGCTGGGATTACGGTTGTGGCCCCATTGTTCTAGTGTTTTTATTTGTATTTTCGCAGAAACCATTTTTACTTGAAAGAAATACTGGCAAACCATGATTATTCAGACAGGCATTTGACAGACATTTTTCAAAAATAAAGTTCACCTGTCATTTCCAGAGAAACAAGGTACAATTTTTGTTGCCAACCATAATGTTTTGAGACTTCAAGTGGGAATTAGTTTAGCTAATGTGATGACCTTGACAGTAACTCCATACTTAAAGCCTTTTCCGATGAGATCAGTGGTGATATTAATGAGTACAATTTTTTAAAACATTGTATAATGGGAAGGGTCAGCATTTAAGATCTCTCTTTGCTCAGTGATTCAGTATTTTCCAAATGCCACATGTTTGATGTCACATACTCATGCATAGGGAAAAGATCCATCCAAGGACAGTGGACAAACAGATTTTAAGGTACCAGAGTAGGAAAAGTTGGTAAGAGGATTCCAGGTTGCAATTCATCTTCAAGAAAGTGCCACTGTCAAATTTTGATGTGTTATCAAAGGAGAATATTTGCAATTATCCAAAAAAGGAAATGTCCATTGCTTTTCCAATTATACTGTCTGTATGAGGCTACAGTTTGTTTATGTATGTGAAACAAAACACAAATAGCAACAGATTATAGGCTGAAACAGATATGGGAATCTATTCATTTTCTATTAAATGTAAATGCTATCTTTCTTGTTATTCTTGTTGTAGAAAGTATTTTTCATAAAATAAATAATGCATATCTATACCTAATAGCTTTATTATTGCTATTTTGAATGAATATTCTTTAAAGTTATCAGTTTTAATTCACAATACAGTAAATATATATAGATGGATTAACTCATATAAATAAGAGTTCTTCGAGGGAGTTCTCAATAATTTTAAGAATAAAAAGAAGTCTTGAGAACCACTGATGTAAGCCATTTACTTAGAATTAAGAAATCCCTACCCACATTCATGAACCCTTACCTATTTGGTATAGAAATAGCATAGGTAGGACACATGTGACTTCTCAAAGCAATAACTTGCAATGTCATCTTTGTAGTTACAATTTTAATTTCATTGAAATTCTTAGGATAAGCTCCATTTTGGATCCTCAGTCCTCTTAACTCCAAGCCTAACTTCCTGATGTGGGATCACACATCAAGAGCTTTCAAACTTTCTAAAACTGGGTCTGGGGCTCATTTGCAGTCTGACCCAGAATATACATTTACATATGTATATGTGGTATTAGCTAAAATAACAATTTCACAAAACAATACTAAGTGATATAGACAGCTTGATAGATAGGTAGATAAACTTCATTTCTCAAAATACTGGATATGCTTTTTAAAGTTGATTTCATGATCATCTAGTGGACTGTAACTTGCAGATTGAAAAACAGCAACTGAGCAAGCATACCGAGCTGACACCAGCTTCCCAGCTTAGTCTGCTGGCTTATTTCCAGCATCACGTACTTTTAAGAACAAGCTTAATTTGTCGTCTCAGCAATGAAGAGGGTTGTGATTAGCTCATAAAGTAATCTGTCACTCTCTCCTTCATTAGCTCTTCTATTTTTGATTATTCAGCAAGAATACATAGATTCTACCTTGCAGTTCCTTCACACACACAGTGGGGCACTGCTTTCCTCTTCCCCAGTATCCCCCATTGGGCTCCATGGTCCTTACACAGACATTTTCCTCTGAAGTTTTCAGTCTTTCCATCTTTTCAGTGTGAAGAACAAATCCTGGTTCCAAAGAACAGATTGCTTCAAGCTCAACAGAGTAGACAGGCAAAACAGGGAGCAATTATAATATCTTAAATATTCATGAGAACAATGACCTATATCCTCAGTGACCTGTATGACCACAGTTCCAAAGCCATTACTGAGAGCCCACTGCAGGGCATTTATTCATCTGTTCCCCATGATTTGGCATTGCTCGTTGCCATTCTAGTCCTTGGGCTTAGAGATGAGTAAGAGAGACATCCTGCTACCCTGCTTACAGGTGGTTCACATATATGAACAACAAAAAGAAGATTAATTTCTTTTGGGGTTTTTTTGCCTGTCTAGTTTAAGTGAAGGAAATGACCCATCTCTCTTGTTCTCACCTTCGTGTGTCTGCACCTTACACACGGCTCTGTGCTGGGTTCCTTGAATGACCACTGCCTCCTTCTCCATCCAGTCTCCTCTGCACAGGAATCCTGGTACCCTCTGTTGCTATTTTTCTTGTGGTACTTAACCCACTCTGAATTATATGTATTAAATTATTTCATATGTTGCATATATTTTCCCCAATTCTAAAAAGGATAAAAAGTGAGCAACCACAATAAACCTAGTATAAAAACAGTTTTTGCATTTGAACAAAGTTAGCTTAGAGTTTCTTGACAAATAAGCAGAAAGGAACAAATAGTAAATTTCATACATTTGTTTTAAATGTTTTATGTGTGTGTTTATTCTTATGATTTTATAGTGCCCCTGGCACTGGGTGCAGTGCTTTGCATATAATGGAGATCCCACAAATGCTTATTCTACTGTACTAAATTAGTTCAATAGTTGACTTTACTCATTAAATGAGTAAAGACCATTTTTTAAAAATATTCCCTTTGGGGGGGCGGTACTGGGTTTGAACTCAGGGCCTCACGCTTGCTAGGCAGATGCTTTACAACTTTAGCTACTCCACCAGCCGTTTATTGTGTTGGGTTTTTTTTTTTGTTTTGTTTTGTTTTTTGAGATAGTGCCCCTAAACTATTTGCCCAGGGCTGGCTTTGAACCCCGATCCTCCTGATCTCTGTCTCCTAAGACGCTAGGATTACAGGCATGAGCCACCTGTGCCTGGATTAAAAAACATTTTTAAAGAGCTCTTGCTGTAGAGAATACTGAAATCCAAGTTGGGGTAAATAAGCACACAATAGTAAACTGGGTATTTCAGGGTTTACATTCTAAGGGAGATAGGAAGAAATAGTTTTGTTTTTAGACGTTTGATATCCTTTTTTAAACCTTAAAATTAGAAATTATGCTCAGGGAAAAAGGGCGGGGGAGTGATGTGGCAGTGACTTCAGCATCGCCACATGGTTCATCTCCCTAGCCCACAGAGCCTCATTATTTTTCTTTTCTTTTTTTCCCCAAATGCCCAAAGCTCTGACCTTCTAAGATGACGTCAAACTTCTGTCTACTTTCCACTTGAAAAATCTGTGTTTGTAGAACCGGTTCGTCACCACTTATCTAAATATACTCTGCAGCAGGCTTGCTATTACTAAAAGACCCTTTCAAATAGGCAAATTCCTCCCAAATCCACATCCCTTCCTTCCCACTGGATCCACAGTGCTGGCACACTTCCACTGTGCCTCCATAAACCTCATCGTGATGCTTTGAACAAACATTGGTGCCTTCGGTTTTCATGATTATTTCATAATTGTCATTATGATATTAAATATATACTAACACCAGGTTTTATAAAGTTGGATACTGTAATTTTTTTTGGCAGTACTGGGATTTGAACTCAGGGACTTGCACTTGCTAGGCAGGACCTCTACCACTTGAGGCACACCTCCAGCCTTTTTTGCTTTAATGCCTTAACTCTCTTAGGTATTTATCAGACAGGGTCATATTTTTCCTTAGACTGCAATCCTTCTGAGAAGTTGGGATGACAAATGTGTGGGCTTATTGGTCGAGATAGAACCTTCCTAACTTTTTGCCCATCATAGCCTCAAACTACAATCTTCCCATCCATGTCTCCTAAGTAGCTGGGACTATAGGTGTGAGCCACCTTGCTTGGCCTGGATACTGCAATTTAAAATGAGTTTGTACTATGATGAAAAATAATGTCCAGGTCTGGGATTTTTATATACTATTTCAATAACTTAGACAAAACTTGCCGCCTA